GGATTATTGGTCCCTTCAGATCTTTACTTTAGAGCTTGATGTTTCTGCTCAAGCTCCTATAAAGCTCAGATAATCACAGGTCATAAGCAGTTCCCTCCTGCTCTGGGAATTGGCATCTGCTTGCTCCAATCTACTTGCCATTAATTATTTGGAGAGAAAGAGGGTTGCACTTTTTTTTTTTTTTTTTTTTTTTTTTTTTTTTTTTTTCCATTTCCTATTTCCAAAGGAGTTCTAGACTCATGATCAATCTAGATGATCAGATTTTTTTTTAATTTCAAGCTTACTTCCTATTGTCACAGCATCCAAGGGATAAGAACCATAGCCTAGTGCTAAAGATTTTTCATCTTTCAGACATTCCAGTAAGTCTAACTCCTTAATACATCAGAAAAGATGATTTTCCTTTAGACTTTTTCACACCTCAGAAAGTTGATTTTCCTTTAGTGAAGAAATCTTCTAACAGTTGTGTAGTTCACATCCTTAAACTGTCTAAACATATGTGTGCTATGATCTTTGTTCTCATTTGATGTTAAAGAGGGCTTAGGAAGACCTGCCATAAATTTCCAGTCCCTCCATTCTAGTGTGTCACTTCTCATAGCAACATGTCAGTCACTTCATGATTTGTACGGAAAAGTTATTTCTACATTATCAAAGGAGGTAGCTGTAGTGCTATCCCTAATTCATAAGAACAAATAGATTTGTGGAAAGCTACATGCTGTATACGGTAACTGTAGTCCTAATAGCTAGCTACATTTCCAGCTATCCTGGACCTTTGCTCAGTTTGCAAGAACTGCTACTGTAAAGGAATCCAGTAAAGAAGCATTTCCAATTACCAACGATGGAAAAAGTTTATCTATAAAGAACATTTTTGTTTTTTCACACAGATACTCAAGCATCCAGTTTATATGGATTATTTATGAGCATTCTGATGTAGACAGCATAGCTAGCACAATATTGATTTTTGAAATACTGAAATATGCTTTCCCTCCACTTATTTCCAGTATTAGAAGAATTCATAGCTTAAACACTAATGCAGACTAGAATGTGCTGACAGTGATATAAATACATTGCTACTACAGCAAAAAGAACTGTATTCCCCAAATGAAGTGGTCTAATGGAGCCATTAACCTCTAATTGCTCAGTCTCTTGACCAAACTTGAAACCACCCAAGACGCTCAAGCTCAATTTTCTTCCTGAGGACCCCAGCACTGGGCACAGCAGTCCAGGTATGTCTCACCAGTGCTGAACAGAGAGGATCATCTCCCTCAGTTTGCCAGCTACACTCTTCCTAATGCAACTCAGGATGCTGATGGCCATCCTTGTCCCAAAGGCAAATTGTGGGCTCATGTTCAGCTTGGAATCCACCAGGACACCAAGGTCCTCTCTGTAAAGCTGCTCTTCAGCTAGCGAGCCCCCAGCCTCTGCAAATGTAAGGTATTGCTCCTCAGGAGTAGAGTACAAAATGTTAAACAGTATTGGCTAAATGTTAAACAGTAATGACTCCCAGGGATACTACTGATAACCAGCTGCCAGCAGGAGTTTGTGCCGCTGATCACAACCCTCTGAGCCCAAGTTTTCAATCCACCTCACTGGCCATTTAATCTAGTCCGCGCTCCATTGGCTTATCTATGAGGATGCTATAGGAGATGGTGTCAGAAATTTTACAGGAGTAGAGGTAAAATAAGATACGCTGCTCGCCCCTCACACACAAAGCCAGTCATCTCATCACAGAAGTCAACAAGTTAGGTATTCTTTCAAATACCAAGGAAATTTTAATTTTATGAAAGACAGTAATGGTGGTACAGGATTTCCCTTAATTCAAATATGAAAATACTTGATGCAGGAACCTTTTCTTTATGTTTGCCAACAACTATAAGGGGTGCAGTGTATTTGAAGTGACTCATTCAAAACTAAAAGGATTTAAAAAGTCACAGAAGAGAAATCAAATGGGACAGATCCAATAGGTATTCATTCCAGTTTCTCTAGTGTAGAAGGAAACAGTCCAAGCTCCTTATGTATTCAAACAGACACATAAACACACATACATAAACAAAAGGGAAAAAAAAAATCACTGAAAAGTTTAGTTCTTATGAATTTAATTTGAAGTGAGGCTCCAAATTGTGCCTGTGTGTGTGTGTTTTAATCTCTGTCAGATCTAAGTGAAGAATTACTAACTTGCAGTCTTATGGACCAGTATTGCTTTGAAAACAAACCAAGTGATAAGGGTAAGTAAATCTAATGAACATGGTAATTCTAAAATTCACAATTACAGAACCTCAAATATCCCCATCCTTTATTGTTCACGAATTCAGCACAAAGAAATCAGTCTTTAAAAAGTCCTATTTTATGTAATTTTAGCTGAATTTGTTTCCAAATAAAACACTCTAATCTTTTAAAAAAAATCTAGAAAACTGCAGCAACAGAACTACAAATTAATTCTTGAGAGAAAATCAGGTTATTCTGCAGGGCTGCTTAAATGCACATCAGCAACACTAGTGTGTAAGCAAATAATGACATATAGGTATGTCATTATAGACATATTGATAAGGAATGTATCATTCCAGAAACAAGGTAGTCTTCTCCACCCAAGTATTAAAAAAAAAAAAAAAAAAAATTAAGACAGGGATTAAGACATTTTCTACTTGTGCTTTTCCCCCAGTCAGCAACATTTCAAAATACTTATTTACCTATACTAGAAATTCTATCTATCTATATAGATATGATTCTAATTTAGGTACTTATACTAGAAGTTTAAGTTCTAAGAAGTAGGAGATCCTCTACACTAAATTGATCCTAATTTTATTTTGTTGGGGGAAGTCCTTTTATCCTTTGGCAGAGATCATTACATACCTGCTAAGATAAGTATTGAAGTCCAGGGACTCCCTGTGGGACTAGGACGTTTTTTGAGGTGTTTATATCTCTCCCAACATTGCCAGTCCTTCCTAGATTTCAAGCACATTCACTTAAACTTTGTAGCGCACTGAGACACTCTTAGAGAAGACTTTGAGAGTCTGCTATACATCTGATCAGCCCAACTACAGAAACAAGCCTCTACACCCAAGAATACATAAATCCTTATTTATCACCAGAAACGTAGTTGTTTCTCAAACATTTTCTTTGCATGTGACTGATTAGGCAAGTTAAGTTAGAACTGATATTCCAATCCTTACTCCTTCTTTAAGAGGTGGTTGTAGAGGACAAATTTAGATCTGACAGTCATCTCATATACAAATTTATTTTCCCACTAAAAGCCTTCAGGAAGCAAAGAGTGTAACATCACTAAGATGTTACAGATGATGGCGGTGAAATATATATGTATTTTCCTAACCTCAGTAGACAGAATTGCCTAAGGTAATTGTGTTACACTATCTTCAAAATGAAAGCCATTAGAAAAGTACAAAATGGGGAAAAAAACCCACAGAACCAATGTGACAGATTATAGCAAGTGTCCAACAAATGTACAGCCAGCACTAAAATGCAACATCCCAAATGAAATGAATAGACTCCCAAGATGTAGGCTCCCAAGATGTATTAATTGCATAATACACTTGCAGTATTTGGCAGAAACAATCTTAATCACTACAAAATTGGCTCAAGATTATGGAACAGCCCTCATCCTTGAGCTGAAGAGGGCAGAGCTGAAGAGGAGTTGGTCAAAAGCAGGGAGGAACAAGCACAACCATGAGTTTCAAGTTTTATTTTGGATAGCGGTAGAACACAGAACCTCTTCACATACAGGAAGCATCTGTAGAGCTGTTACAAAAACATTTCATATTCTAACACACCACAGATTTGGAAAGGGAACAAAAAGCACAGGTTTCATACTGCTTGTACACTTCACACTGTGTTTGGGCTTACAGAGTCTTAAATTAGAGATAATTTAGAAATGATCTGATTTTACATATACATTACATTGATATCTCAGTTTTCATGCACAAATTCACTTTATTTTTCTAAGTCACCAAACTTTAGGAAACTTTTTCCTGCTCTAAATAGTATATTTCCACTTTAAATCACTTTATTATTTACAAAAGTGTGCAAATTGGTTTGAAAGATAGAAATAACAATAACACATAATATACAGACAGCTTTGTTTATAGTTTAACATTTACTAAAAGGCAGTTAATGTTTCTATTACATTTTCATTACCTAAAATAAATTATATAAAATAGACCATCTGATTTTCAGCCACTTCCATTTCTGCAGTTTTGGTCTTTGAAACAACACTGCAATCAAATATTAAGATTCTTAAGATTGAGACAAGGTCCTTTCAGTAAAATGGTAGCTTAATATGTTTAGTACAAATTATTTCTGTCCCAGAATTTCTATGCTTGGCATGGGGATACTCAAGAGGCAGGAAAAAAAAGAAAAAAGCTGGAGGAGTGAAGATGACAACCTTGCTGATAGAAATTCTTTGTTGGCAACATGATAAGTCTTTGCTTAAAAGCTGAATGCGTTCACTTGAATTTTTCTTTTAAGAGCTTGTTAGTGTTGAGTGCAATTTGGATCAAATCTCTAAGTCCTTTCACAGATGGACACAAGATTACCAAGTTTTATTCCCTTATGCATGTAATCTTCTCAGATATATGCAACCGTTTCTACACAAAAAGAAGCAAACTCTTTTGGACTATTGAAAAAATTAAATTCAGAATTTGAAATGCTTAGTGGTACAAATGATGCCATCTGCAACAGGACAAGCTTAGTGTTCCCAGTGCTTCTAAGTGTGCAATTTTTTAAAAACAATTATTTTTAGTTCCCCATAAGTGCATTGTGATCTACATGAACAAATCCAGAAGGCAGGAGTAAACTGGAGTGAGCTGCTGCAGTGGTGAGAAATGATACAGGCAGGTCTCCAAAGTCATCTTTCGTGTAAATTCCTAATCCATCTGACAAAGAAGCAACTCACTCCCTACATTTCAATTTGGCTATTTTGTGAAAGTACAACTTCCTTAATAACAAACAGAGACTATCTGGCAGACAAAAAAAAAAAAAAAAAAAAGGTGCAATTTCAAATAGCTTTCAAATCCAAGCCTATAAGTCAAAGTACAGAAAGAGAAAAAAAATTTCCAAACATCCATGCAAATGGGTAACGTAACTTCTAAGGAGCTGTCAGTGTTATTGGTGTAGCTTGCACAGCCATCACAATGCTGCAAAGAAGAGTATTGCCCACTGCAAGGAAAGTTAATATTATCCTTCCAAAAATTTATCTTCTTCAGAATTATGTCATACATTCTTATGTTTCTGAAGACATTTAATTCGTAAACACAGCAAAAAAATTTTAGACACTTTTTTTGACAAAAAAACGTTTTGACACTTACACTTTTATTGAAATCTGGGCATCACACACCACCCATACATATATCCCAGCTGGATAAAAAGTGATGTCACTGTAGTGCAGCTCTTGGTTACATTCTCCTGAAAAGCAGACTCCAGGTACATCAATTTTTAGAAAGCACAAAATTGTCAAACTGAGACACAATGGTAGTTTACATGAGAACTTGAAATCAAATTAAAATGCCGAAGATACTTCAAAAATATGGTTACTCAGGAAGACTACAAAGTAGATGCTTCACATAACTTTGTTATTGTTTATAAACTCTGAGCAACTTCAAAAAAATACCATTTCTAAAAGATTGTTGTCTTATGCCTTGAAAATATAAGAGAAATAAATGTCTTTGTAGCCTACAGTATTAATTAGAAATGAACAGCTGAAGCACTCAAAGCTTGAACACTTTCATAAACATTTCACCTAGGTTTTTGCTAAGCTTTGTCTGCAGAGCATTATTTTCAATGTATGTTACTGCTGCCCTCACTTTCCCTTTTGTTTATGGCATGCTCTTCGTGGGAAAGACAACACACAAAAGGCTGTCCCCAACAGTTTCATCCTAAGATGCACATTACAAACACTGTGCAAACAGGTATTTCCAGACTTCAGGTCATTAATGTTCTTTGGATAACAGACAAGCATGTGTGTACTTTTAAGCCTGTTAAACAGCTTCAAACTAGTTAACCTAGTATTTTCCAGACTCTGTGGATAGCTCTTGCAAAAAATATGATGTTCAAATAATATTCCTTAATGAGGTAAAATCATGTTGAAAATAAACAGAATGCCCCCACTGGAGATTTTGTCACTGGTATAAGCACTCTGTGGTACAGTCAATCTTCCTTCAGTAATGTTAGACAGGAGCTAAGTGTCAAGATGAATGACCATAAGTTTAACTCGCAGGAAATAATCACAGACAAGTTCTACAGACTAAAAAGTGCCAGCTGTCAAAACCTAGCCGTTTAAATTTTGTTCCCCTCTCCCTATCCCAGTGTTTCTGTCCAAGATTTTGGTTTCTTTCTAACTATGTTTTTAATAACAAGTTCTCTTTATTTTTTCCCCGTCAGTTGAAGGAAGGGCTCTGAGGAAACTCCAACCAGGTAAGAAATGGAATCCAAAAGCGCTTCAAGACGATAGGTACAATCATGCTTTTTCTTTTTTTCCTATTTTGTACCCAAAAGCTGCCAAGTTAATATTAGCATTCCCATATCATGATTGCAATGAAGTACTGATAAATTTAGTACCTTTGGATAAGCTCAACATCACAAACAAGTCAGGTATTTCAAAGAACGTATGCCTGCATCTAGCAGAGTCCACCAGAATATTCATCCTCCTCCTCCTCAGCATGAGAGCCCACTGTGGCTGGTCCTCTTGCCTTGTCTTGTGTAGCATTCGGTGACTTCTTCTTGATTCCACCTCCTGGCACCACCAAGGTAAGACCTAGCTTGGCATACTGATAATAACAAGACAAGCTTAATTTCTATACTCTTAAAATACTGAAATGTACTTGAATTACCCTATACAGGATTCACTGGAGTTAACAAAACACCCATGAAGCAAGTGAATCACATTCAGTACAAAAAAAAAGATTGAGGATGCTCTCAGAGTATTCTCAGATTTAGAATAAGCATAACATAGATTCCCTTTTCAAACTTGAATGCTTTGATAAGAGGGAAATAACATCTCTCTACTATGAAATATGAGACTGCTTATTATCAAGTAACTTGGCCACATCACAGTTTCAGTTTTTCAAGTTCTGCATAAAAAGAATAATTAGCACATAGCTTGGATCTCTCTAGTAACAGTTCATATGAAGAGTCTTACAGATTTTTTTTTACAGTAAAATTAATACCTTTACAGTAATGTTAAATTGTAAAGATTGGGTGAACCTAGACAATGCAAAATTAGTAGATGCCTGTATGTTTCCTTTACTTCATGGCTATCACTTTCTTCAAAGGGAAAAAAAAAATACTAATTAGCTTGTAGAACTTGTTAGGAAATAAGTGCTGAAGGGGGAAAAAAAAAAAACCCCACACCCAGCAACACTATACTGTAGATACCAAATCCAACTGTAAAATGATTATGCAAGTATATTTCTGAGCTAAAGCATTTGCAGTAGGGTGTTCCATTCTCAAAAGTAACAAGGCAGAAATAGAACTGAGAAAGAATGAATCCATTCTTTAAACAGATTCAGTAGATCTGCTGCAACCTGTTTTTTCATCCAAGCCTTCCAATGCAACAACGCAAGACTTCACAGTGGCAGACAGCAAAGTAAAAAATGGAAAAAAGTTCACAGGCACAGAGTAGCATGAAAGAGTAAGCTGCAGATCTCTCTACTTCCCTCTTTAACATAAAAAAAAATCTCTGAAATTAAGCAGGACAATAATGAAAAAAATACAACAACTGCCCACTTACATCATTGTCCATGTACTTGAAGAGTGGTAAATTGCAGACTTCAGAAACTTGATCCTGATCTTGCTGATCATATCCTTCTAAAAGTTGCTCTAGTGCAGCACAGTCTTCACTTCCATTAAATCCTGGTATACTTGAGAAAATTCAGAGTTTCTTTAAGATATTCAAGCCACCTAATCAACACTCTGCTACCCACCTTTAAATGTTGCTATTCAATGATAACAGAAAAGTAGACAGCTTATAAGAATCTCATGACCTGCTTATTCCATGAAACTGTGCAACCACTTTGATTTCCCCAGGTATATGGAAACTTTTACTTTCCTCAATATTAATTTGTAAGTTGAAAATCAGACTATAATCACATTCCTGAAAGAAAAGAGAATGTCAGCATTTTCAATTTTTGCTGACTAATCAATAAACTTTTCTTCCAATACACATACAGAAAGTTCCTGTAATGAATTTCTATATGAAATAAAAATGGAGTACTTGGAAAATATGACCAAGCTGTTTAAAGATGGATTTTAAAACCTCGTTACTAAAAATAAAGTATCAGTTTAACCTACACATATGTTGAAGTCATTTACCTAAAAATGTAGTTTAAGTAAAAATATGTAGTCTCAGTATTTTGTCACTGAAGTTCTAATGAAAGTTGAAACGAACATAGTTGCTGGAAAAGCATCTGGAGTCAGGGTTTAAACACTAATCCAGATACTTTTTTTTTTTTTTTTTTTTTTTTTTAAGCAGAGGGAGGGGAACATTCTGCTATCAGTATCTTCTTCATTTAAATGTATTCAACTGCACTAGTTCTTGCTTTCTTACTCATCTTTCAGTTCAATCAAGTGTTTAAGGAACATCAGTACAAGGAATATTTGCTCTTCTTCTTCCAATATACAACTTAAATCTAAGGACAGGAAGGGAAAGATCTCCTTCAAGCCAGCTGCAGCAATTCACAAGCAAAGAAATTTTCTTTAAGAAAAATATTTAGAAAAATTTTTCCTCAAACTAAGCATCACACTAAATAGTTTAACAGATTAGCAGAGATACTGCTAGTGATGTATTCTGAGACTGCAGTACGCATTTCTATCCTCAAATCATAATAAAACATAGTTAGGACAAACTAGAACTTCAATTTTCAAAATGTTTCAGTACACTAGACAACAAAAAAAAAAATCTGAATAGGAAACTTAGCAACTTCCAGATAAATCCCCCTTTTATTTCTGAATGTTTGTTTATGAGCATTAACACATCTCTGTTGAGTCTGAAAAAGAAACAACCTGAAAACAGACAATACTGTAGGACAAGGGTAAGGCAACAATTCAGCTACTCAGCTTTTATTGGAGAAAGCATTCAAAGAACTTGTAATTTATGTTGGATTTTACTTTTCATGGGTAAGTACTTGTTTATAATTAACCTTTTCTTTTATGTTCATGGCAATTAAAAACCTGCCAACAGTGAAACAGTAAAAAAACATCTCCACCCACTAGTGAATACTACAGGCTTAAGATTTTTTGAAAACACTTCCAGACTTCTTTAATAAGACTAGATCTACATGAATATTCAGCTTAAAATTAGAAAAAGTAAAGCAGACTTACCTATAGCTTTCCCTCACACATCGTTCTGCAGCAACATAATCATTTCGGTGAAGATGAACCAAGACTTGAGCAATAGTTTTCTAGGGGAGGAAAAAATATACATATTTACTGGAACAAACAGCAATTTATAAGCAAGATGCTGGACTGTCAATATTGAACATCAAAAGATCGTTCAAGTCTGCGATGATCATAAGTTACTGGAACAAGTGGGTCAGAACAATGCAGGAAAGAAGTTGTAAACCAAATCCCCAACTGGTATCAAACAGATCATCTCCCGTAACATTGTAGTCAGCTGTTGCACTAAGTAACACCCATTTTACTTTAGGCCTTTCTACCTTTGTGGTTTGTAATGGTAAAACCTCAAAATTGACCAAAATTCTTATTCAGAATTCAAAAGCAAGCAATTCTAGTAAGCATGCTGGAAGAAACAACTTAATGCAAACCAGACAATACTATTAAAATACAATAGAAAATGCCTATGCCTTCTCTTTTTTCTCTTCCTTCCAGTTTAATGGCAAATTAGTTTGCCTTCCAAAACCATTATGTTCAAATTAATGTGAAAATTCATCCAGAAACCATTATAGTCCAGAAACCATAGGAGCATATTATTCTTAAAGAGCACAGTTTTTACCTTATAGCATGTTGGATAATTTTCAATTTCCTTATAAATACTTTTTTCCTTTTGCAAAGACAATGCAGCCTCGTCTAGCCTAAAAAAACAAAACAGTTATGATAATCAATACCAGAAAATGAGAATAAAGATCCAAACACTATTAATATTACGTCTTCAAAGGTGACAAAAAACCAAGTGGTATTTAACTAATTCACCTGCAAGTTTACCTCAATAAAAATAAAGAAATAAAGAATAACCAACAATTCCTTTTGTATACATGTAGGCCAAAAACATACCGTATTTATTCATAAATGTTTCATAACAATTCACAACAGGAATCCAGTGTAAGCTATCAGTAACATCTGATACTAGTGAACTACTAAGATAGCCATAGAAACTAGTTTCTAATTTTAACACTGCATTTAATCGCAATGTTTCAAACTGTTAGAAAATATATAGCGCATGAACTATATAGCAGCAGAGCAACTGTCTGTAACTCTGATGAAGTTAGGCCGACTTGCTCTTTTACTAAAAGACTTTCAAGTTTCTTGTAAGTTGTTTATAAGTTTTCTTTTTCAACGGCAACTATAGCTCAAAATACAGATCAAAAACATTTAGAAATACAAAGAGGGACAATTTATTACAATATTCCATGCAATTCAGTTAAAATGATGGTCAAGTTTGTGACAGCAACCAAAAAGAAATTATTATCGAGACTAAGTAATATCCTAAGGAGTCTCCATAATCAAGGCGTTAAAAACCACAATTCTTTCCTCAGTTTAATCCCTTAATTCCCATTTTTTTCATTCTGCAGCTGTAAAAGATTTGCAAAAACTTACTACAAAGCAAGGTTGAATTAAAAAAAAAAAGAGAAAAAATAAGAAAAAAAAAAGAACTTTATGAAGTCATTTAAGGATTAGTTAATATCAGGATGGGGTAATGTCCTTTCTAACTATTCTTCAATAAACAAAATAAGTTTTCACAGTCTGCACATTCTGGCATCCCGAGAGGCAATTCATGGATGAACATGGTAGTCCAGTATATGCTCTCACAGAAACCAAAATTTAATCTTACGTGCTTCTCAGAAATCTCCAAGTAACAGTATACAAACGCAACGACAATCAGTGAAATTCATTAGCAAACTGCATTCCAAAAAAATAGGTATAAAGCTATACCTGCGTCCTCTGACTAGAAGTCTTGACGCCTTCCCTAGCATTTCTAAAGCTTGCCGTAAACGTTCTTCATTCTAGAGAAGAACAAAAAGAATTTCATAAATATTTCATTTATATAGGATTAAAACCACTAGATCTTAACCTAACTATATTTCCTATCACTTGAACGACTTTTCTATTATACTTCACAAACTGAAGGGAAACACAAACAACTTGGGGGTACCCAAGTCCCACAGCCAACTCCCCCTCATATAGATCTAGAGAGTAAAGCAAAAAAAAAAAAAAAGGGGCATTTTTTTTTTTAATGTTGAGAGATTTGTAAAATCTGCCTGTAAGACATGTTGAGGTCCCAGACTGACAGTAGGTAGGAGAAAGTTTCTGCTTATATTTCCTCTGGATAGAGCAGATCTGCTGCAAAACTCCTTTCCTCTCCATACCAAACAATAAGAGGGAAGGAAGTTGACATCTGAATTTCAGATTCTACCAAGTGCAAAACTGAGAAAAATTCAGACAAAGAAAATAGACTCCTTGCTTTCATAACTTCCCTCTCTACAGCACAAGATGTCTTCAGCTCCATTACCTGCCCATGGACGCGAAAGGAACACAAAATAATTATGAACCTGAGCTTACTTTACAGCTGATCGTAAACACCTTTAAGTCCTTTAAGTCAGTCTACTTTCTGGCATTGTAAATTTCTTTGCTTGTGAAGGAAAAAGAAAAATAAAACTTACTTCGAACACTGATGCTGCCTGTTGATAGAGCTGTACAGCCTTCTCTGGGCTCACATTTTCTATTAACCTGTAATAAATACAAATATCAACATAAATATTTGTCCTTAGATCAACTGAGAATACCTTCTACATAAAAGCAACAAAAAGACTTGGAGAAAGACAGCGATAGCAATGCCAGGCAAGCATTCTAGCCACCAGCACCACACACTTACTTTCCAGCCCGCTCCAGTGCAATTGCTGCTGTGTCTGGTGTTCCATTCTCCAGGTACATCATGCTGGCTTTCTCAATCAGCTGAACTGCCTCGGGAAGTCTCTGCATCTCCTGCAAATACAGAGATGGAGAGATGACACCATCAGGAACTGTACTTACGTGTAACAAACGAAATGAATGCAAGCTTTAATACTGTATCTGTTTAGAGTTGTGGACTGGTAAAGAAACAAGTAACAGAACGTATATGGAAAAAACCATGCTTTCTGCATTGCCATTCATTTGTAAAGGAACAAGTCAGGTATTCAGTCAAAGCCAAAAGACTTCTACTACTTGAACATTCATTTACATATATTTTGAAACAGTCCAGTGCACCATATTCTTCAGTGTAAAAGAGCTATTTGATTAAAAAAAAAAAGTCAGCAAAAATACCTTTAACATCATTCCAGCTTGTTCATAGGCTCTGCAGAGAGAAATTTGAGATTCAGTTAGATATGGTGTATTTTAGCAACCTGTAGCATGTGTCTTGTCATCCAGCAACATGCATCAGTTATTACTTCCCTGTCAATATTTGAAACTTGCACATCTTCAAAGCAGTAACATTTCATTTAATGAGACAATACACAGGTAACACTATCTTCTGTCGATGAAGTCTCATCTTCAACTGCACTTTCCTCTTTCTCCCATGAAAATCTATTCTCATGATCTGATCCACCAGCAATATTAGAAAATTCTAAATGTACAAACAGCTTACTTAAGAAAAACATAACTGAGATTAGAAGGTGCTGGAAGATGTCCAAATTATTGCCTTCTTCAGTTAGCTACTTCAGTTTTCCAGACTTTCCGAGCCTATGCTTTGATGAAACTGATTTTGAAATAGTGAAACAACCCAAATCACACCACCTGTTATGGTGGGGACCAAACTGTATTTCCTATTTTGTAAAACTTGTTTCAGATCACACAGTGCATCCATACTTACTTGGCAGCATGGAAGAGACTGGAGGTAAGAGAATCAAAGTCAAGGAAAAAAAAACAAAAAAAAATAAATGCAGGTAAATGGGGGAACAAAAAACTTGAACAAGTACTAGGTTCAAAGAGCAGAATCCCCAAAAGCCCAATCTAAGTATGTAAACAAGGTTTCAGAAACAAACAGATCTACGGATGAAATACACACAAGTACCAAAGCGTAACTGTGTGCAGAGTCATAAAATGTCCATTTAAAAGCAGTTCCTTGGGTCTAATTTGGAACTACAAACACCACAATAATGCCAGAAGGGCATTTATTTTATAATATGTACAATATATATTCGTAAGCATTTTGGAAAAACACATTAATTCCTGCAGCAGCATCTCAACATCTCAGGAACTGGAACTTTATCACTCCAGGTATTAGTCAGAGCAATGCAAGTTTTCTATGAAAAACTTCTTTTTTTTTTTTTCTTTTTTTTTTTTTTTTTTCTCACTCACTGCACACAGGAAGAGTTCTTGAAGGAAAAGATTCGTTAGGTTGATGAAATCTGAAAACTTATTAAATATATCTTCTACCAACTCCCATTACCCAGTTATCAGTGAAAAGATACGCCTTATTGTTCTCATGGGCCTCAGCTTCCCGCAAGCAGGCTTCCCTTGCCTGGTCAAACTGCTTGGCATTTTTAAAAGCAACAGCTGCAAGAAAGCAAAAAAAAAAAAAAAAAAAAGTTCTTATTTAGAGCGTTTAATTTTCCTTCTCTTAGCACTTCTGCTCAAGTATTTAGCCACTAAGAGAAACAGACTCTTCAGATGAGCAGTTACAGGTTTAACAAGGTCTTCCAAAAAATCCCATGACAGTCTCCCTTAATTCACTTAGCTACCCTGAAAAACATTTATTGCTGCACTTTGACACCATACACCACACACATTGCATTTAGCTTCATTTTGGAGTATTATTTATTCTACATTTTAGCTGTAGAACTGCAGAAACTTGTATGTATACATGTTTAATGATTAAAGATTATAAAAATCCAATAAAGCATTTTAGTTTCAAAAACAAGAAAGAATGATTTATTCTGATAAAAACAGCTGGTCTTCCCAAATTTTAATTCAAGCTTAAATGCACTTGTAGGAATGCCTACTGTGTTAAAAATGTATTCACTGGCCCCAGAGATAAATTAGTAAGATCAAAAAGAAGGAAACAGTTTAAAATGGTGAAAAAAAAAAACAACAGGGAAGAATTTTATTTTTGTCATGACACTTACACAGGTAAAAATGGAGAATAGTTTTACTATGCATAAAAACCTTGGCAACATCTCTCTATCTTACTGAGTCTCAGCTGGAAATATTTCAAAAAGATGATGAGAAAAGAAAGTTATAAAAACAGCTAGAATATTCGTTGATGGATAAGATCATTTGAGGATGCAGAATTGAAAAAAAAAGGAAAGCTTTAGTATTACAATATGCAGAGCAGAGATAATTTTTTTTCAAACTTATACAACTTAAAATTTTCTCTAAGTACGATATAAAGTTTTACAGTGCTGCTTATATTTGATTTCCCTTTTTTAACTTCAGTCTTCGCAACTGCTTTACTTACATAATAACATATTGAAAATGCATAAAATATTATTTGCAATTAAGCTAATAGTGTACTGTGAGAATTTAAAGCATGCTCCACATTCACAACCATCCATACCTGCCTTCCCGTATTCAGTAGCTGCACTGTCATAATCCGGTTTCCACTTTAAGAATCCAGTTTTCAGACTAAAATGCAAGAAAAAGGGCCATTAAAAACTAGTAATATTTTAATGTTTTACTTTCATAGAACTTATGTTTATTGAAAACTTTAAGTAATCTCTGAAAAAGAGTGACTAGTCATATGCCAGTGTGCATCACAACTGTAAGAATACGTCCAACTCCAAACAATGCCAGCAATGAGCACTGCAGCCATCTCCAATAGTCACTACATGTTCTGTCTCAACACACTCCTACATCTACTCCGAGTAAGTGGTCGCAAGTCCAGCCATCCAACAGCAGATGGTCAACAAAAGAGTATTTCCACTTCTATCAACTGGCATCTCAAGATTTCCAGTACCACAATACCTGGCAATACTTTTTCGTTAAATGGCATGAATTTTCTGGTGTTCCTCTTCAGTCACTCTTTGCTTATGAAAATTATCAGTTTCCATTCCATACAGACACAAATGAAAGAATTTACCTGCCCAAGTCTTATATCTTCCTCATGGATACATATACAATAGATCATGACACTAATTGATGCCACACACACAGAAGGGCAAAAATAGCTGTATGAAAATAAGGTAACTCATCAAGTGAGAATGACTTCAATATTATTTCCTCATTGAAAAAATCCCCACAATTTAAATAAGAGTTTATATTGACATTTGTTCTAGTCAAACACTTCAGACGCAAAACATATTTTTAGAAACAGTTATATATAGTCTATATTAGCTTTACCATCTTCATTGGTCAAAAGGCACAGTAGACAGTAAGCATTTACTGTGATATTTTTAACATAGGCAGGCGTACAAATGCACTGAACTGAAATACACTCATCTTTAATCTGCATCCAAGTGTGAGCTGAGATCATTTTATTTTAAGCGTGTTTCAGGATGAGCTCACAGTGAATGCCACTAAATGACACTTTTGGTCAGGTAGTTTGAAGATGATGCTCTTGATTTGTCAGATTGCAGGTTCTCCTCTCCAACACACTTTGTACTTTTGTCTCTTGTATTTTTAGATTGCCTATCAGTATTATTATTAAACTATAGCACCTTTGGAAATGAAAACTCCATTTCTATCATACTATAGTCAGTGAAATTGATGCTTATAAGCAAAATGGCTGTACTCTATATCAAAATACACATTAAAAGGTTAGTACACACAGCCAATCAAGTTTCTAAGCTAAATGTCACCACTGGCCATTTAGGACCATCTAAAAAGAGCCAGATGTTTCTCAATCCGTTTTATTCGGCTTCCCACCAGACTCGGTAAGGTTACTCTCCTCCATTCCCACCCCCCAAAAACTCCCTTCGCCCATTTGTCGTTTTCCCTCCTCATTTTACCAAGCGTGGAACAGGGACCCGCCTCGGCTCCCAGTCGCGGCCAGGACAAGGGCCCCCGCGGCCTCTAAGGGAGGCTCGGGCGCCCGCTGCCCCCGGGGCCGCTTGGCTCCCTGCACCGCTCCCCGGGGCACCCCATGACGCCGCCATCTCCCGGCCGCCCGCGCCCGGCATTGTGGGAGTCGTAGTTCCCCAGGGGCCCCGCCGCTAGGGAAGGTGCCGAGGGGAACTACAGCTCCCAGGATACCCCCTCCCCCCCTTCCCGCAGCGGGCCGGGGCGCCGAGGGCCACGAGCTGCGGCCCCGGGGCTACGCGGTGGCGAGCGAGACAGGGCCAGCGCCGCCCTCCGCGGGGCCCGACTCGGGACGGAGGCCATGGGAGCCTCGGCAGGGCAGGCGAGCCGGACGGACCCGACCGCCAAGCCGGCAACCGGCTGCCGCACTCACTACTTCTCCGCCTTGGCGATGTGCTCCAGCGCCTCGTTGATCTTCTGCGCCGCCATCGCGCAGACCTGCGCGCTCCGGGAAACGGCCGCTCCGGCTACGGAACCCCGCACGGCCCACGTCGCGTCGAGGGGACGGGACGCAGCGGCCGCGTCCCAACCGCGCGTGCGCGGGGCGGCGCGACGTGGCGTTGGCGCGCCCGTTACGGCCGTTGGGCGGCGCTGCGCGACACAGCGCGTGCTGGAACGGCACGCTGCTGAATGGCCACGTCCCTGCGCCTGGCAGCTGTTCTGTCCGGCTTTCCGCAATGGTCTTGTCGGTGGTGTCGCTCGTTGGTGCCTGTGCAGGTGGCTGGCTGACCATTTTGGGGGCTGAGGCCGTGTGGTGCTGCAGCCCTGTCTCATCAGCTGAGAGGTGAAAGAATCACAGAATCATTATGGTTGGAAAAGGCCTTCAGGATCATTGAGTCTAACCAAAGGTGCCTTTGAATCCGGTGTCCCAAGCCAGGTCATCCCAAAGGCCAACAGAAGCTTTTTAGAAAAGGTAAGGGAACACAGGCACCTAGAGTTTTCAAATAGATTGACCTTTCTTATCAAACTAAAGCAGGGCTCATCATGGAAAGAGTGGATAATTAATGGACTGAAAAAGCAACCTTCCTCTCTAGCTAATATAGGCCCTGTGGGAGAAGAGAAAGAAAAAAGAAAAAAAAACCCACCAAACTGCCTCCAGTTAAGGTGACTGCACAGAAATAAGTTGAAAGCAAGAGTGATGGTTGGGTTGCCTGAGTAGCTAGCACAGGCTACTGAGTCACACACTTCACCTCAGTTATACACTCAGTAGCTGAACTGAAATGCTAAAAACCCTGTTACTACCCCTTTACTATTTTCAGTACTCCCTGGAGTAAGCTAGTTTACACACACCTGTAGTCACACCTCACTGCAAAAGCACTTAAACACAGAAATGCATGGGCATAAAGTCAAATAAACACTTTTTTTTTTTTTAACATAGCATTCTTTATGCATTTTGACAATATATTTGCAATGGAAACAGCAAATCTTGGCAACAAGAGTTTGTCAGTTAGGAACCATGTGTCTCTCATGTACATGACTAAAACAAAGCGATTGTATTGGAATTGTCTCAGCCATTTGTGTGTTCGCACAGAATTTGTTCTGCAGATTAACATGAGATTGATAAAACCAGTTCTTTAAGCTATCTCCTGCACTTCTCATCCTACTTTAGGAAAAAATCTTATCTTACCCTTAGCTCATATATATTGAGTTTACTTCTTATTTTCCCTAATGCAAACTGTCTTTCAATAACAGAAGATAGGCAAATCAATCTAGAAAGGTGTTTATTCTCCAAACTTGTGCATGATTACTATCTCTTAGTAATCTAAGTATGAAAAATATATCTCAACAGAGAGCAGAAAATACAAGGAGAAGTTGATTAAACTGAAAAAAAAAATCTTAACAGACCATAGGAATCATTCAAAGTCCGTATTATTTATAGGAATCAGAGCTTTCTGACTGTTACTACCTTAGCTGGAAAAAAAAGTAAAAGGAAAGGAAAGGGAAAGGATTTATATGCTTGATTTCATGCTCCATGGACATCAAACTGAGGTCTCTGGATTGTCCTCGCCTCTCTTTGGCTTCTCACACATTCCCTTGATGATGTTGGACCATATTATTCTGACTTTGGTCCCTGAGTAGCACTTGAGAGGCCATCTCTAGCAGACTGTAGAAAAATCCCCACTAAGCATTATGTACTATCATTCTGCATCCTAGAACAACATAGAAAAATTGTGTAAAGTGGTTTTCTTCTTTCAAAAGAAGAACAGAGAGATCAAGGAACCAGTGGAAAAATAGCAGAGTGATCAAGGGACCAGTCAGCTAACAAGACGTCTTGCAAAATACATATTCAGGAAAGCTCCTTGCAAATGCTCACTGGTAGCAGCTAAAAATTATAGGTAGCTATGACTGGTGAGATTGCTTTGTGACTATACCTGTCTTTTCCCTTGCTGTGGCTGCCAGGATAGACAGGATGGAGATGGCCATGTAACTGTGACCTTGCAAAAAACTTGTGTTAATTGCCAAAATGAAATCATATAACTGTTGCATTAAAGGGAGAGAATAATATGAGAGAGTACTTTGGAGGGACCCGGTTAATGATTTGTTTGTGTTAGTGTTCTTTGACTGCTGTGTGCTCTAGGTTATAAATAGCTGTTCAGTTTCTGGTGAAACTACACATGTGCAGTGTCTGGTTGCACTTTATACTGGAATAACCAGATGAAAGATCCCAAGACTACTTTTTAATGAAATAGGATATTCCTGGGTAGCTTTTCTTTTGTAGGCATGAAAACTCTGGAGATTAACATCTGGGAAGGATCATATCACAACATCTGGTGCTGAGCTGTGAATTATAATTTGGTTGTTTAAAAAATGTCTGGGTACAATGTGAAAAAAAAAGGGGTAGCATTGAAAACAACAACCTTTCAGTATGCCTTTAACATTTGTTTACTAGGTAGGTAACAACTCTCCAAGAGGTCACTCCCCTTTAGCCGGTCTTCAGGTGGTCATCACTAGTCCCTGCGGAGTTTCTGTGTCCAATCTAAGATAAGAGATTCCTGATAGGAGCCGTTTTAACTAGGCGGTAGGCACTAGGCTAACAAAAATGAAAGATGTAAGCTTAACAGCTCATTTTGTCTGAAATGAGTTAAAGTCACCGATGTGACATTTCATAGGGCTCATTCTCTATCAAGAGGCTGGAGGCCAGCAGCTCGTGGACATCTTCCAGTATTATGGCTGGGTCCATCCAGTCAGCCTGGACTTCTCCCACAATCCTGTTAGCTGTAAGAGATTGACTTAAATGCATGTCAAGGCCTCTCAGTATCCACAGGCTTTTCTTCTCAGACCAGTTTTGCTATCCAGAGGCACTGACAAATATCAACATTGACTGCTGTCCATACCAAAAAGACTCAATGAGTATTGATTCTCAGATATATTGCTAGGGCACAACATCTGTAGATATGAGTCCTTATCGACAGGCGTTGATACCTCTCAGTCTCAAGAAACATGGATTCCTATCCGTTTCCATACCTATCAATAGATATTGATATAAATGAGAATTGCTATTTAGGGTTAGGCTTAGGTTTAGGATTTTATGGTTAGGCTTAATGTTAGGATTTAGAATTTAGTGTTAGGATTGGCCAAGGTGTAGGGTTAGCATTAGGGTTAGATTTAGAATTATAATTAGTTTCAGGGTTATGGCTATTCTTAGGGTTTGGGTTAGGGTTTTAGTGTTAGTGTAAGGGTTAAGGTTCAGGGTTATTATTACTTTGAAGGTTAGGGCTAGGTTTAAGTTTAGGATTAGGATTTTAGGTTTAGGATTAGATCATATTTGTTCAAGAGGTCTGGACTGATCCCAGGGGCATGCATTTGAATTCAGCTGCTGCTTTTTATTTTGTACTCCACTGGATCTGGAAGGTGAATTTCATTTTCCTTTCTCTGGATTTTCTAGCACTGACTTATACCCTCTTTCCACAACAGTGTATGGAAAGTTCTTATACCATAATTTGATGCAAGCTACCATGATGAGCAAAGTGCTTGTGAGGAGAGGGACCTGCTTATTCCTCCTCCTAATCAGTCTGCTACTAATACCAATGAGCAATGGTCTCAGAAACTTTGGGGTTTGTTATATATGCAAAAATTATTCTGCGGTCATTCCAGGTGAATCCCAGTGTAAGCACCTCAATGGTGTGGTTCTTTTCTGTCCCTTCCCTTAGTGTTACTTCCATAGAATTTGCCTGGCTGTGAAACATATCTTTATGGATAACATGGCAGAAAGCAAACAAATAACTCTGTGGGCAGCAAAATTAACAAAGAGCATTTTTCTATAGATTTGTGTCTTCCTGCTGTCTAATTAAATAACATAAGACTACATTGTGAGTTTATTTTTTATTAGATGTCAGAGAGCTAACGAAGGAGAGAGACGTTGCAGATAGCTCAGGGAAAGAGGGAATGTCTAATCGGCATTCCTAATTTAGTCACTAGAGAAGAGGAGGATGCTTTAGTATCTAGTAAGGTGTGAGCTACAGTGTAAGTTTTTTCCAATGTGGGGACTTTCATAATCATTTCTCCCTACCTAACACGGGTAAATATTACAGGCTTTTATCTCAATGGGAATGTAACCAAGTTATTTCCTCCTGCATGCATCTTTATGTTCCAGGAACTCTATAAATAAATTTTATTTTCGAGCCACTTTCATTTCTAACACTGTCAAATTCGGTTGCATTTCACTAATGGCTTCAAATGTTAAAGGAGGATATCAGCTGGCACACAGAATATGATTGTATTCATTTGTTTCCTTAGGAAGCAAGGTTTTTGCTTCCCATATACATGAGTGCAAATATTTATGGAAAGCATGTTATTCGCTTTATCTCCTGTGTTCTTCCCAGCCCATGATTCCCAGGATTAAATCATTAGTGATACACTTTCATTTTTATTTCCTACTGTCTTTCCTCATGTGCTGATGTTTACTGATATAGCCATATTATGTTGTGAATTGGAGAACTGATCTGTCCTTCAAACAAAGCAAAACCAAACAAACAAGACAGGATAAAGAAACCTGCTGCAAAACAATATATTTCTAGGGAAGACCTTGTCTCACAAAGCCTCAGCCTCCTTAGCATCTCTGGCTTCCTCAGTCTGGTCAACATCCTTAAGGGATGCAGAGTCCCTTTTCTTACCTTCCTTGGTGATACAGCGTGGTGTGTATCTCTTTTAAAGTTGGTGCCAGCTTCATTATCTCCTAGTTCTCATTATTCCAGAGTCTTCACTCCCATGTCTGCTACCTTGCCTCTTTCAGCACAAATATTTATGTGCTTCTGCAGTGAACATATTCTTTTTTCTTTCGTGGAGAAAGAGAGAGAGGTTCTTAACTGGCTCTTTTCCCTCATGCAGTTTGCTAAGTAGTCACACTTATGTAAAGAGGAGACCAGGAATATGTGCTCAGAGGCAGGAACTGGTGAAGGCACTGAAGTACCACAGGCTAAATGTGTAATTACAGCTTTACTGCTTTACTACTTTCTTTACTGGTGATGAAGGT